CAAAAACAGCTCTAGCCACAACCAAGGAAATAATAAATTCAAAGGTAGTGACCAATTTCAATAAAGATATAGCTCTTTGGGAGTCTGCCCCAAACTTATTTATGTCATTGCTTATAGCTAAGGGAATAAACTATTGGAATATACAACTGCTGAAATGTATCCAAACCATCTATTCTTTCAAGCCACCTTATTCAACTATATATTCAAGTTTTTTTCCCTTTTTATCAGGATAGTGTTCTAAAATCATTGTCTCCAAGACAGAACTTCTTTTGATAGAAAGATTAAAATAATAGAAAACCTCTTTTACATGGTTCATTGCATTACAGAGAAGTTGAACTTTGCAAGAATTACACACTGCTAGATTTAATCGATGACTAAAACAATGGGTGTATAAAGCCTTGATGTTTAACTTTACAATTTTTGTAAATAAATCCATAGCTAAAACCACTAACTAGTTTTTGCATTTGATATATAGTTCGCACTGAAACATTATTTTACAAGTTAATCTGTAAGATTAACTTGTGATTTGCTAGCAAAATATGAATAATTTAATACTGATGCTAATCTGATGAAAACCTCTGGTTAAATAACTTAATGTAAATAAAACAGTATAAACAAATAGTAACTTACAGAATAGGTATTAATTTATCCGATTTTGCATTTTTGTTAAAGTAGGCTTCAGCGCAAATATTTCGCTTAAGATGAGCTTGATTAATTAATGGATGCAAAAAACATAAAGAATCAACTTGGAGGAAATACTTCTTGATAATCTTTTCGAATGTAACTTTATCGCTTCTCTCTAATGCAATTCGCACATTATCAAAAATCTTTGACATCTTAAATTAGAAAAAAAATGAAATGCAAAGTGTATTATTTTCCAGACATTTAATGCGTAAACTATATCCCAATCGGCCAAATTTTAAGCAAATTGTTTACATTTTTTTAATTTCCAGACTTTTTATGCCTAAACTTAACCCAATCGGCCAAGTTTTAGGGAAATATGCCTAGTTTTCTTAATTTCCTGATCAGATCGCCTCAGATCAGGCGGCCTTAGGCATAAAAACCAACCGGTCAAACTTTTACTAAATTGGGCTAAATTTCCGATTTTCCAAATTGCCTTAGATTAGGCAAAAAATTTTTCGCCTAATGCATAAAAAAGCCTTTTCGCCAATCATTATATTTAACACTCTCGCTTATTTTTGCGGTTTCAAATCCGAAACCGAGAAAAAAATCCTAATGAAATTTTGACTTTAAAAAAATGTAAAGTAAGATACACCTTATTTATAATATAATATTTCTCCTTAGGCGGCCGCCTAATCTGCAGTACTGTAGATCCGCCACTGCATTAGAAGAAAACAGTAAAACTTTGTCAATATTTAGTATATGAAACCGATTTGAAACAAAACGCTTCATTAAATTCAATGCAGACAAATTATGACAAACCCATAAATATAATTCATAACTTTTTCATAATTTTATGATTATAGTTAAACTATCCCCCGTAAAAACATCAAGTTTAACTATACTCATAAAAAATACATTACGGGGGGATATTTTAACTATATTCTTAATAATGTTTTGAAGAGATAGTTTAACTACCCCATAGGAAAAAGATGTGAAATACTTTAGTTAAAACAAAAAGTTTTATATTTTTCAGGAGTGTGAAATAAAATTAACGAATAAAAAAAAATGGGTCAAATAAGTTATAAAAAAGTTTCAAATACTGCCCGTAGTTATTTAAAGTAGGGGTAGAGCTTAAGCTCTCTTAAAAAATCTCCCTTAAGTTTCTGCAACTTCCATAGGCCATTAAAAGACTACTTTACATTTTTATTTATTTATACTCTGTATGAATAGATAAAAATATGTTAAAAAAAAGGTAAAAATTTTGCTCATTAAAATTAAAATTAAAAATCTTAGGGTAGGATATGCTGTGATATACCGTTACTAAGGTTAAAGTTTTTACCTTTCAAGGAAGAAAATTATTTATACGTTTAAAAAAGAAAATTATATGACAAGACATTATTTTTAATATAATTTTCTACAATAGAAGGTAAAAAATTATACCTTATTAAGGGTCTATCATATATCCTACCCTAAGTGAGTAATTTCTACCTTTTTTGTTAGAGTGTATTGCCAAGTACGCAACTTTTTAAATTTAAGAACATTATAAAAATCGTGTAGTGTTTTAAAATATATTTTTTGTATTTGTTTCTATGAAAAACTGTAAATATTTATAATGAAGGCAACCGTTTCTTATATGCATAAGCACAAGTAGTTATTTCAAGTTTTAACTTGAAACTTACTGTTTTTATTTTTGGCAAATGTTTCTTACATATGTGTGAAGTTTGATTTTAGTAAATATGTGTAAAGTTTGATTTTAAACTAACAGAGAAAAACAACATAAGTTTAAATCTCAGTTTCAAAAACAATAAAAAAATTTTAGTACCAAGTTCTTAGTACCGCGAATTCATAAATCTCAAATCATTTACTTTTTTCAATGACTTTTTTTTAACATGCCCTAATATTGTTTATTTTTGATTTGATTAGTGGTTCTAAAACATCAGAACAATATCAGCAAGCTTACGTTATTGTAAGAACTCTTAATTAACTTGGAAACGATTGGTTTGTTGAAAACTACATTTGGAGCACACAGATATAATTTTTGTTAAATTACTAATAAAAAATAAATAAATTTTTTGTGACACAATAGTTGAAAAAAGTGTTATCATGGAACTCATAGATAAGATATTTATATACTACCGTCATTTATTATTCCTTTATGATTTTAATTTTGAGTAAATTTAATTTGCTACTTATTTGTGTTAATTTTAAAACAGATTAATTGAGGCATAAAATTTACATTCCAATAACTTTAGCAACTAAATTTAGAGATTTTTTAAAAATGGCATTAGGTGCATTTTAATAGTTTTTTTTTTTTTTTTAGTTTTAAATTCTGTTATACTTTTTTGATCAGGTTTAATAAGAAAGGTAAAGATCTACGTAAGTACTGTTATTACTAATGTAATGTTTTGAACTCCATTAACTTTTTAGTGCTTTTTTACTATTTTAAAAGTTAAAAATTCCCTTTTATATATAGGGAATTAGTTCAATAGAATATTAGGTTGAGGTTATCTGATAGACTGAGGATTGTCAAACAAGTATGCTATAAATTCAAAGAAGTTATGTGATATATACAACTTTGATTGTTTAAAAAGTTGAGGTTTTTAAAAAATAGTTATAATAAAAAATTTAACTTTAGTTTTAAGGTTGTTTAGCTACTTAAAACGGGAAACGAAAAAAGTTTAATAAATTTTTTTCTTCTTTATTAACAATAATTTTTGTAAATTTCTTGCACAATATTAGTCAACTTTGCATTTATTTTTTATTTTTTCTTTTTTAAAAGACCATAGTTATAAAATTGAAGTGCATGTAATAATAATAAAAATTTTACAAACATAAACTAATAATAAATATATTTTTGAAATATTACCATATATTAATTGTATTATATTAGTTCTATTTTATTAAAAACTTTATAAATGATAACATTTTTTTATACGAAACGCATGTACATTGAATGAAAATAAGGACAAGCAAAATTAAACATATACATACTTACATTTACTGATGGTTTCGTTAGTGCAGAATTTAATCACAAATATAGTCTTAAAAACAATTATGAAACCAATTAACAAAGGTTTTTTTACCAAAACTCTACAAAAAATTTTTCCAAGTGCCCGAATTTAGAATTTATCAACAGAATTTTAAATTTGTTCAAACTTTATTTGTAGTTTATTTTTTTGATTATATACAAGCTCTTTGAGTCTCATCTATATTATATCTAAATGAGAATAATTTAACTCTCCCTCCTCCCCCACCCTCTCTCTTTCTCTCTTTTTTTAACTTTAGATAAAAAACTAAAATTTTAGTTTTTTACCTGATGTATTATGTTTAATAAAATTGCATAAAAAGACCTTTAATTTTATTATATTATTACCTTGTTCGCGGGGCGCCGCCAGCATTTTTTGGTCTTTGAGATAGCTAACTTCCAGATATGGAACAAACTCCAAACATTTATATGTTTATACTTATGTCAAATAAGGATGGTTTGCAAAAAATTGCGATAATTGGAGCTTGGGAACAAAAAAGCCGTAAACTTTTGTCCCCCCACCCTGCCCCAAACGTGAGAGCAACAAGTTGATGAAATATATTTTGTACTATTTTTAACTAGACTTATATTCGTAGATACATTTTAAGCTTCATAGTATTATGTCTCAGCAAACTTTAAAATTGGATACGATTTAACCAGAGTAGTGGAACTTGTATTAACCATAAAAAATTATGTATTTAGAACATTTTTTAATTTGAAAGTAAACTCCACCATTTAATTTTTTGACAATTACAACTTATATTAACCAGATTGACAATTCATTCTTTTACACCTATACACGAGAAAATACAAATTGATACGAAGCGAAGTAAAATGTTTTTAAAATTGAACGCGTCAAAATTAACACAAATCTGTTTGTTGATTCTTTAAATAGTATGAGAGTTTCAAAATTTTGAGAAATCTAGAGTAAATATCTTTTTTAAACTTACCATGTCTGCGTAGGTTTAAAATTGATTTCAATGTCATTTAAAAGATAGTTTTTTTTGAAGAGGTTTGTATTGTCATCAGTACTTTTATTTAAGCAGTGCAGCGGTATATAAACAGTTAAAAAGCCGGAAAAATATATATTAAAATATATAAAAGCATTTTGTTTCTTTTCTCACTTCTTATTATTACATTGACATTTTTTAAATTTATGAAATTATGAAATTGTATATTTGAAAAAAATGTTTTGAACATTTTTTTTTTGTGATGATATTGATATTCAAATATTTAAAATATTTGATTCTCAATAGGATTGAATTTGTTTTCCTCATACGACTTAACTTTTAGTTGAAAAAGTCTTACAATATATTTAAATGAAATAAAAAATTACTTTTTTTTTTTATAGAATATAAACTTTTAGAGAAATGTTTATGATTTCACACATTTGTGTTATCGCATTGGTATGTATATTTTTTATTTTACTGTTTTTATTATTTAATAAAAAACACTTACACTTTTATAATATAATAAATGGTCATGAGAGGTAAAAAGCGCGCATGTAATTAAGTCTTATCAAGTGAACCTTTTTTGTTTTGTTTTGTTTTGAAAAATCCAGCAGAGTATGTAAAAAACCATTAAGTTTCAACAGTAAACGCTTTGCTTGTAAACGCTTTCAGTTTAAGAATCAGTTATACTTTGCTGTTTAAATTTGTTTTCGTTTTTTTTAAATTAAGTAATCAAAACTTAGTTTAAAAAAAAAATATTAAAACATCAATGAATGAACATTTTAAGATTACATGTTATTACCACTATTAAACAATTTCAAATAACGTACTTGAATTTCATAAAAGTTTGACGTCACAAGTTGAAGTATTTTTTATGATGCTGCCTGTTTTTGTTTTAAAAAATTCAAAACAAAATAAATGTATAATAATTTACAAATAGATACCGCATATTTAAAGTAAATAAAATATATATGTATATTTTCAATAAATATAATATTTAAAACAAATACTTTTAAAAAAAGTGTGATAAAGACAATGATATTCTTAATAATACAATAGATGATTTTCTTCTTATTTTTAGTTTTTTAGTAGTTAACATGTTAAAGTTGATAAAGTTAACGTATCGTTATAATTTTAGTTTGATAACTTCTAAAAAAGACTGGCAATATTTAAAATATTAGAATCCGTATTTACTAAATTATATTTTAGTAAATAGAGTAATTTATGGCTTTTCTGAGGGAAGTATCTAAGGTCAAATGAAATTAAAAAAAAAAAGCCCCATCCTCCCCTATGCCACGATAGAAGCAGTGGTTGCCTATGATGGCATACTTGTGCTTTTTTTTAAAATAGGAATAACTTATAAAAAACAAAACTGATGAAACTCCGAGGGTTATTATTATTGTTCCACATATAACAAGGAATGTATCCATATCAAAACTTTTATTATTGGTCTTCAGAATACTGAATAATGAAGCTTCAACGTTAAGTATGCCATCATAGGCGCCTTTTCCCATCTCTAGTCTTGATATTCGGCTCAGTGATGTACCTGCGAAACTTTTAAAACCGAGATAAACAGTGTTTTATTTTTAAAAACCTGTACAAACATCTTTCCTTTTCAAAATTTTACCTAAAATATAGACGATTAGTGATAAAGCTTTATTATCAAAAAAGTAACTGTATAATCGGTTAAATATATATGAATATATATGTTTATATATGAATACACACACACACACACACACACACACACACACACACACACACACCAGTTTTTGTCTTGATAGTTTGACCCAGTTTCTCCAATAGCTAATGCCCAAAAAAAACCTTTTTTTTTTTACGAAAGTTTAGTTTTTTATACAGCCAACAAAACATTGTATATGATTAAACTAAATAATACTTTATCGGGGCTATCCATAAATGATGTCGGTTATTTTTCTCAATTTCTTGACCCCCTCATTACATTGTCAAACACTGTCAATTTTTGGTAAACAACCCCTTGTAAATGGTATCAGTTTTTGTATACCCCTCTTCCTAAAGTAAAAGTATGCGTAAATACTTTTGTTTTTTTCTGGTTAAATTTAACATTTATATAGTTGCAACCCGGTGGAAAATCGGCTAGCGAATAGCTAGCAATATTCGTTACGATTAAGACAGCGATTTGGCCACGAGAATCGCTAGCTTTATAAGCTAGCAATCCGCTAGCTAAACAAGCTAGCGAATAGCTAGCATTAAGTTGTTACGATTAAGACAGCGATTTGACCACAAGGATTGCTAGCTTTATAAGCTAGCGATCCGCTAGCTAAACAAGTTAGCGAACAGCTAGTGACAATTCGTTACGATAAAGACAGCAATTTGGCCACAAGGATCTCTAGCTATATATGCTAGCGGCTAGCTAGTGAAAACTCGTAAGAATAACTACAACTATTAGGCTAGAAAATATTGACTAGGTTAGAAGATATGCTCAAAGAATCGCGTACTATATTTTTCACGGGAGTGAATTATAACCATTAAAATAAGATTGTATTTATAACAAATTAAATACAAAATGTAATACTTGTATCCATAAAAAGTTATAAATGTTAAAGCCATTATATAATGTTAAAAGAAAAAAATATAGACTACTTTTGAAAAATAAAAAGTCATTAACAACTAAATGGTTTTGCTTAAATTAAATTAATAATTTTAAAAGATATTTAAAAAGATAATAGAATAAAATTTCTGTCAAGTTTTAGTTTTTTTTTATCTTTATCAACTTTCAAAAATACTTGCTAAAAAAGTTGTAACAAATAAAATATCTAAAAATAAAGTGAATCAATAATAATAGAACAAATAAAAAAAAATAAGTTAACTGGAATCACTAGACAAGTCAGTGTTTATATTTTTTTTATAACAGGACTGTGTACTTGAATATCAATTATTAAAGATGAATTTCTCTTTCTTGTACCAAAATAACGATCTTTAGATTTGTTCAAGTGTTGTGCAATTATGGTAGTCATACTGAATTCAGTGGCAGTTGGAAATAAACAGTAAGCTGCATCAAAAATCAAACTTTCGACTGGTCCTATAAACTTACGCTTTTTATTTGCACCAGTTCGATTAATGCTACAACATAGCTTGTTAGTTAAACAAGTTTTTTAAAGCATTTTTTAAAAAGTCACTTACATATCTCCTACCAACTTGCTTCATCTTTCTGCAAATGATATCTTTATCATTAGAGTTAATTATTTTATTTCCTAGTAAGTCAAATTCTTTAACTGAATTAGTTGGTAAATAAAGTTATTTATTTGGTCTATCCGAGTTTTTTTAGATGGTAAAGAAAAGGAAGATGATGAATGTAACAACGGTTGAATTTGTGAAACAGACTGATACTCGGATGGAAACACTATCTGTTTAACTGGCAAGTTTTCTGGTTGATCCACGGAGGCAGAGACAGACAGAAAGTTCTAGAGACAGACAGAAAGTTCAAGATTAACAATGATTATAAATACTCTCAAATGATATAAAAACTCTTTCACAATATTTTAATTATATTATAGTGTTTTTTTTGAATTTAAAAATTGTAACTAAAAAATCAAATAAACTATAAAAAAAAAAAAAAAATTTTTTAAATGTATACTAAATTGGAATCATGAAGCTTTGGTGGCTCCCACAATGGCAATGATGACAAAGACGGTTCTTCAAAAAGGCTTTTTCTTTTTTCTTTCTGTTTTGTTGACTTATAGGGGTTTTCTTGTGTTTTTTTTTCATGTATTAAAATCAATTTCTATTTCTGATTCTGCAGTATAAATATATGCTACAAAACAAATAACTTTTTTAATATACATACAATCATAGTTTTATACAATATACATATCATAGATCATCCAGGTAAATTACCTGGATGATCTATGAACTTCATAGATCATAGATCATAAAAAAATAATAAAAAGTTTGACAAAAAAAAAACTTTTTATTTTACCCAACAATTTTCTGGATTTTTAAAATATTACTAATATTTAAAAAATCTAGAAATTTTTTTTTTTGTCAAACTTTTTATTATTTTTTTATGAGTGATGAGTGGAAAAGCTTAAAAAACAAATATATATATATATATATATATATATATATATATATATATATATATATATATATATATATATATATATATATATATATATATATATATATATATATATATATGTATATATATATATATATATATATATATATATATATATATATATATATATATATATATATACATATATATATATATATTTATTATGTTATGTATAGTAATTATTACATTATTTATATACAAATAATATTATTTATAGTTAAAACTTACCACGCTCATCTACCATCTTACCAACATTTTATTTCCACACGTCTGAAACAGTGCGCAGAAACTACAACTGTTTAAAAAACTATCGACATTTTGTGCTAAAATATAGATAGCTTAAAAGCTGCAATATGTTAGCAGCTTTTAAGCTATCTTTTAAGCTATGCGATTAAGCTATCTAGCTAAATCGCAACTATATGTAGCTATCGACATTTCGCATTCAAATCGATAGCTAAAAAGCTGTGATATGAAGCTGTCAACATATCGTAATAAAATCCTTACTTTTTAAGTTCAATTATTATTAGCATTAAAACTGAAAATCAATATGGTGTAAAGCATCGATGGCTAAAAAGTTGCAATTTGTGGCTATCGACCAGCTATCTAAACGCTGTATAAAAAACTGCGTTATGTAGCTATCAACTAGCTATCGATTTATGGCGACTTTGAAGCTAGCTACAAAGGCTTACAAATATGAAACTAGCAATAAATCGTAATAAAATCGTTTTCAATAATACTGCATTATATAGCAAGCAAGTAGCTATCGATTTGTGGCTACCTTGTTGCTAGCTACAAAGCTACAATATGTTACTAGCGATAAATCGTAATAAAATTGCTATCTAAAAACTGCGATATATAGCTAGTGACTAACTATAGATTTATCGCTATCAAATAACCAGCTACACAAATGCGATATGTAGCTAGCATCATATCGTAATAAAATCGCTGTCTATAAAACTGCGTTACGTAGCTATCAACTAGCTATCTATTTTTGGCTACCTTGTAGCTAGCTACAAAGCTGAGATATGTACTAGCAATAAATCGTAATAAAATTGCTGTCTAAAAAAATGCGATATGTAGCTATCAACTAGCTATCGATTTGTGGCTATCTTGTAACTAGATACAAAGCTACGATACGTAACTAGCGATAAATTGTAATTAAATTGATAGCTAAGAAGCTGCGATATGAAAAGCTATAGATATATCCTATCTAGTTGCCAGCTAAACAAATGCGATATGTAGCTAGTGTCATATCGTAACAAAATCGTTGACTAAAAAACTGCGATATATAGCTAGCGATACATCGTTACAATATCGCAATGTTTAAAGTTCAATTATTTTCATAATTATAATAGAT